TCCATTTTATCCTCACAACAACCCAGTGAGGTAGGTTAGGCTGAGAGTCTGTGACTGGCCCAAAGTTACCCAGTGAACTCCATGGCTGCGTGGGGACCAGAACCTGGAGCTCCCAGATCCCAAGCCCGACACTGTAACCACAATGGGTTGTGGCACACCGCCATTTTGAATGTGCAAGCTGCAGTGACTGGGGAGCGTGCTTGGTTGTGTCACTCAAACCTGAACATTGTGGGTTATACAAGGGTTAAACAACTTATGGGTTGTTCTAGGATTAACTGCAGATTGTTCAGCCCTCTCATAGCCCACAATGACAGGGTTCCACAATGTGACAAACCACAGTGCATGCCCTTTGTGGTTTACATAAGCCTAATGACAGCCGGCACATGCCTCAAAGCCTTGTTGGTCAATTAACCCCGTGATGGCTTAGCCTTCCTTGCACAGAGGCCCATTATGTCCGTCCTGCATTTCTACACTGTCATGTTCTCTCTTGCAAGGAGCTCGAGGTGGCCCTCCAGGTCCTCCTCTGCTCCATTTTATCCTCACAACAACAACAACCCTGTGAGGCAGGTTAGGCTGAGAATTCATGACTGGGCCAAAGTCCCCCAGTGAGCTCCACAGCTGAGTGGGAACTAGAACTTGGTTCTCATGAGTCCTAGGCCAATGCTATAACCACTATGCCACACTGGCCTTTAGTCTGCATATCCAGTTTCTGTTATGTAGGTTTCATGGTCTTGGCATTCTAGCACTGCCAGGCAGACAGATGCACCTCAGCATACAGACACACAATGTTTCAAAGCAAATCTTCCCACAGCAGATTACAATTAACACTTAATATAATAAAACTGCATAATAATTGTGAATATCCCTGAGGGAAACAGACCCCAGTCTCATGATTCCCTGACATGGTTTTGACCCAGATCATAGCATTTAAAGTCTCCGGCCCATAAGCTTCCTAGCACACATCCTCTCTTTTTCCTGTTCTGCTGATAAAGAGGATGAATGCAAGGAAATACCGAGCCGCCGCCTGTGCCTCCCTGGCCCAGCACAGGAATTTCATTCTCAAATCCATCATTGTCTTCCTGAGCTGGGGAGCAACTTTCCGGGAAGGAATCATGTTAGTCCGTTGTAACAAAAATTACATAGAGCTTTGTAGTGCCTTAACAGCTAACATGTTTATTATGTCATGAGTGTTTGTGGATAGAGTCCACTTTGTCAAGTGCAACTATAAAGTGTTTTGAGGCATGAAAGGTGGATGTCACAATAAATGCAGTCTTCTTTAAGGCATCATTGGGCTCTTCATCCATCTCAGGCTTGGTACTCTTGCAGCAAGAAATTAAGACTCTCTTGCTCTTCAGTCATGCAGTCCTTAACACAGAATGCGTTAGGCTGTATTAAAGGACTGTAAATTTCTGGATTTCAGAGTGGGTTTCAAGCCTTTGTGGAAACTGCAACAGCATGGCTTGTTGTTACATGTGAACCCAGCAAATGTGGTGAAGTTGTGGTGTTGTACCTGACTCCCCAGGATCCTGACATAATAGAGATACCTATCAGCTTTCTCAGGGCATTCAGGATAGGCATGACTCCTCTAGGCTCCAGATAGGCATGACACGGCCAAACACTAGAATAATCAGCTGTCTCAGGGTATGCATGATAGGCTTAGCTCTCCTAAGCTCAAGCCCATTCAAATGACTAGTAACTGCCTCAGAGAATTCCCCTGGTAAGTGGAAAGAGCTTACCTACAATGTAATGGACAAAGTTTGCTTAGAAGGTATAAATTAAAAGATAAAGCTTACTGCTAACCAAATCTGCTTCTGTATATCACTTGCTCAACTGCTTATGTGATTCTGTAACTCCCCATTGTCGCCATTGTTCTCATTCTTGTCAAAAACTGATTGTATTGTTCCCCATTTGCCGAAAGCGGATTGTGAAGGTATAAAGATCTCCTTCCAACTCTGTTCAAGCACCGCATTCCTCTATGAATGTGGTCCCTGCCACAGGAATAAATCTCCTCTTTACTTTACCATCCGGTCTCTGGCCTCGTCTGTAACACCGCGGGTACAACAGTGGTACCTTTGGTCTCTGTGGAGCCAAGGAGAAAAGCAACAGCTCATTCAATTGCTTGCATACTTCACCATGGCTTATTATCATGCCTGAACCCAGAAACCATTCTGCATGATTTCCATGTTTTAACCAGAAAGATTAAAGATTAAGAGTAGTCCTGCTGGTCCATGTGATGCTGTCCAGTTCTGCCTAACAACTGCTGCCTTGCAGCCAGCAGTGTTCTGATTGGCTGCTCGGTGCTCCTTTATTCTTTTTCCCATGCACTGCCTTCAGATGCCCAGACACAGTGTGGAATCTCTCCAGCACTCAAGCATCAGACCACGCCACCTGCAGCAGCAGTGACCTTGGGCACAGCTGTGCTTGGCACTCCGCTCTGGTTGCTCCAGTTTTTGGAGTCTCCTCTCTGGAAAGTTGCCCTACATGTGAGAAGCACAGGGGCTGCGTGGGTGAGATCGTCAACAGGGAGAGCATATCACAGAGTCTGTGTCTCCTGCTCTCCCTACCGCCCATTTCCCTGCTCCTATCCTGTCCCTGACATTCCGCAGGACTGCCAACAAGCCCCGCTGACCTCTATCCACCCCTCAGCCCTGGAGGACAAACCCCTTCATTGTGGCCAGCTAAGAAACATTCCCAGGCACATGTGCTTACTCTACTAAGTAAGCATGTGCTTCTTCTGAGCAACAGAAAAAAGAAAGGCAACAGGTTGAGGCCACACCCAGGGGAGTGTGTGGACCAATGAGGGAGTGGCAGGCAAGCGGGCAGGAGCAGTGCACCCTGGGATTGATTTTGTGTCATGGGGGCTGATGGGATACCAGCCGCCATTAGAAGGAAAGATTGAGGAGGGTAGAATCACATGCCTTTCTGAACCCAGGTCCCAAGGTAAGCTACCATGCAGCGTGGTTTAGCATTATGTGTGAACACAGCCAGGCAGTTGCAACTGTACATGTCGCCATGTGGACAAGACTTTCCCTTTGTGTCCCTTGCCTGCCTAGACCAGAACCTGAGAAGACTCCTAGCTACTGCCAATATTTTGGCAAGGCAACATATTGCGAGCTATGCAGTTTTTAAATCTGGTGTAGCCTAGGGTCTGAGAGGCTGAGCTATGATTCAGTATGACCCTAGATCAACTCTTGATTCACTTGCCTTAGGCAAGCTGCCCTCTCTCAGCCTCAGTTTTTGCCGTGGCAATATGGGAAATAATTATACTGACATAATTCAGAAGTTATTGCGAAGATTAAAGTGAGATAACATATGTGAAGTGCACCAAACAATTGCAAGAAATTATTATTGTTTCTCCTCAACTGTGCTGGGTAGGCGTTTTTCACTATATGCAGCTCTTAAAGGTTTGAAGAGTCATATTGGAATCTGAACTCAGTATTCCATTCTCTTCCCATATAAAATTTACAGAGGAACAGTAGGGAAAGCCAGTGTGGTGTAGTGGTTAGAGCACTGGACTGGGACTCAGGTTCTAATCCCCTCTCTGCCATGAAGCTCCCTGGGTGTTTATGGGACAGTCACTGACTTGCAGCCTAATCTACCGTACAGTGTTGTTGTTGTGAGAATAATGGAGAAATAACACCTTCTAAGCCACCCTGGGTTCCTTGCAAAAGGAAAGAAGGGAGGCATACATAGGATAATACATACATCAGTAATAAAAAGTTACTTGTAGACAGTGTGTTAGAACTCTTCCTGGATGAGTGAATGGCTTTTCCTTCAGAGCTCTAATAACCAAAAATCTGTTGATGCTTCACCCGTTCCTTACCCACATTAGAGTTTCTTGTGGACTAGAGAAGGCTTAGTCCACAAAAAGCTTACACCACTATGAATATGCTAGCCTTTTATTAAGGTGCCACAAACATGTTTGGATCCCCCCCCCCCCCGTTAAGGGTGTTGGGTGTTTTTACTGTGGGAATCTCACACGATTATGCTTCTGGAAGGATCCCCCCCACCCCCCACCCCAGAAAAGAGAGATTCCCAACCCAACCTGGCACACTGCTACGGCAAGGTCACCCATCCGCCTTTGCTAACGGTGGCAAGACCGCAGCAAGAGGGACGTGCCAAGCCGCCCAAGCCAAAGAGCAGTCACCGCAGGCTGCCGCCTCGCCCCCCGCCCCCGCTCCCGCTCCCCCCGGCTTCGCTGCGTCTCCCCGCCCGGCCCCTTCTCCCTTTCCCGACAAGGGCGAAGCGCACCGCGCATCGCGCACCGCGCGCGCGAAAGCCCAAAACACCAGCAGTTGAGCGGGGGAGAAGAGAAAACCTAGAACTGGAGTTCAGCTTGTAAAGATAACCCCCGCGCCGCCCGCGAGAGCAGAACTAACCGAGACGGGCGGAATTTCGAAGGTGCAGCGAATCCCACTGGGAAGCTTCGCCCATCGAACTTCCACCGCCTGCTGAACTGGGGGAAAAGAGCCCAGGAGGGGCCTTCGGGGGAAGTGAGCACAGTACACAGGGGCGCGCCCGCGCACTACAAGGCCCATCCTCGCCCGGCCTGCACGGCCGGGTCTGCGCAGCCTGACACCCTGGCCCCCCATTGCCCCGACCTGGCGCCCTCCATCCGTGCGGGACTGTGCACCTCCCAGGATGCAAGGCTGGGGACGATGGGCGTCGCGGGCTGCCACGCCTAGAAAGCGGAAGGCGGCTGCGTGTGGATGCTCGGCGCTCGCCGCTTCTCCGGGGCGCCGGTGGGGTGGGGGAGAGACGGAGGAGCCGCAGCCCCGCTCCAGAAGGGGTGGAGGGACTCCCGCGCATCGCGCCTCCCTGCCTTGCGCACTGCACTGTGGGCGAAAGATGGCAGCTTCCTGTCCCACGGTTGGCTTCCCACGCCTGTGACAGCCCGGGAGCGGCGGCCGCCTCCATCCCTCCGCCCTCGCCCGCCCTCCGGCTCTGCATCGCTCCGTCTCGGCTTCCCGGCGGACGCTGGGCTCCCAGGCTCCCCCCGCCCCCGTGCCCCCCGCTTCTGGGGCTCCGTCCAGCATGGAGAAGAGCTCCAGCTGCGAGAGCCTCGCCTCCCAGCGGGCACCTTCGGCCACCCGCCAGCCCAGCATTGATTCTCTCTCCAGGTAACCTTCCTTCCCCCGCCGCCCGCGGGAAAGATCCTGGCTGGCAGGCAGGCAGGCAGGCGCGGAGGGCGCGCTCCACATCTCCCGGGACCGATCGCCGAGAGACCGGGCGACATCCGCGGTCCTTGGAAGCGGAGCGCAGGGTCCGCGCGCCCCCACGCCCTTTAAGGCGCGATCCTGTCCAAGGGCAGCCCAAAAAGAGGCCTACAAGTCCCAGCATGCCCGTGCCCATACCCCAGCCTACCGTTTCCAGCGTTCCCCAGCCATGAGACTGAGGAACGCTGGAGATTGTAGGACATGGTTTCTCACATGCGTAGGAATGCGCTGGAAATCTCTGTGGGTTTGACTGTTTTCCCCATTTTTGCTTCTGTGGAAATATGCATGGGATTGTGCCCCATACCCCGAGAAATACTGCCTAGGGGATGCTGGGAATTGGAGGGCTCTTTTTCTATCTTAACATGCATAAGAGTCTGCCTTCAGTGCGTTAGGGTGCAAGCGCATGCATATTTAGACAATAAAAGGCCTAAAAGTCCCAGCATTCCCTGGGTCATTATGAGACTAAGGAATACTGGTCAGGGGATTATGGGAACATGCGGGGAGAGGGAGAAGAAGCTAGGAATCTCAGCCCTGTGGCCTTTCAGGTGTTTGATGCCAGCCTCAGGCCTTTCAGGTGTTTGAGACTACAGCTCCCATCAGCCCCATCAAACACTGCCTCTGGTTGGGGCTTTATTGAATGCATTTATGTATTTAGTACTCGACCTAATAATTAACGTTCTCTGGGCAGATTAAAAACAATTGATAAACCAGAAATGTCACAGAACTGTCAAAAATACACAAATGCGATGTATGTACCTTAAAATAATATTTTAAATATTTTTACTTAAATGTCAAAATACCAGTTTCTGCAGAGGCAGCAAAGCCATGAACATGAAATGCAAGGGCATTAAAATGACATTGAATAGAAGAACAAAGCAAGAAGAGGCAAAATGAATCAGCCCAAACCACAAACTCTGCTGAGTGCGCCAATCCATGTCTGGCTGGGTCAAAGAAGGAGGTCTGGAGGGAGCAGGTTGGAGGAAGGATCTGGGAGGTCTGTGTCCAATACTGGGTGCATGGGCGGAGTGGGTGTGAGAAGAAGACTGGACATGCTCGGAGGCATTCTTGCTTGGAAGTGCCACTTACATTTCAGTGTTGAAGCCTTAACACACTCTGAATCTTTGGCTGAGGGTGTTTGGTTTGGTTTGGTTTTTGTTTTTTGGCAGCCTGAGCCTCCACATGTTTACCTCCAAGTAAATCCCACTGCGTCTGGTGGTGGGGCATTCAGTGCTGCAGGCAGAGACTGCAATTCCTCCAGGCTGTGTCGGGAACAAGCCCCGTTGTCTTCCATGGGAGACCTACTTTTGAAGAGCAGGCTTGAGCTTTAGGGATTTAACAGCACTGAGCTCCCACCCTTTATCAAGCTCTAATCATCTGCACACTTACCTAAGAGTAAATCCTATTGAGCACAATGTGACTTCCATCTGAGTAAGCACCAGCACAGTTCTTCTAAGATGGCTTAGAAGGAGGGATTCCCCACCACCAACCCATCCCCTTTCAGTGCAGGGGTTTGGATGTAGCAGAGATGCTGATTCAGAATCTTAACCTTAACTTTATATCCCTTTTCCCCTCTTGCAAGGAACCCAAAGTAGCTTGCATGGCCTCCCTTATTTTCCTGTTATCCTCAGAACAACCCTGTGAGGTAGTTTCAGCCTAAAGTCACCCAGTGAACTTCATAGCTGAATTCCCCAAGTTCTAATCCAGTGCTCTAACCACTATACTACACTGGTTCCCCCAGTAAAGAAATCATAGATCTGCTCATTCAGATTTACAGGTTGGGCTGTAAGCTAGTTAAGCCCTTTTTCAGGAATGCTATTCTATTCCCTCTCTCCCACAACCCCCTTTCCCAATAAAATCACAAGAACCCCCCAAAAACACAAGATGCCCTTCAAAAAGCACCACCACTAAAAAGTATTGTGCTGCATATTTATTACTTTCTACACAGAGAGGGTGTATTTGTAGCTAAAGGAAAATGAAGAGTCATCTGGTACATGAAAAGCTTTGTGTTGCTGCTGCTGTGATGTTAACCCATGTTTTTCATGCAATTCTTTGCTTTTCTCCACCCTGTTCTTTCTTTAAATTTATTATTACGGGTTTCTGCATTGAACCAGAGGTTGGACCAGATGACCTTCAAGCCCTGCCCAGAAATGTGTGGTCCTATGATCTAATGAGGCTCAGTTGCAACTAAGAATGAAAGATCAGCTGAGAATCCAGCTGTCTTGCACTCATGGGACTTCTGTTGCTCACTCAGCCCTGGACAGGAAGCAAGCCAAGCTAAGCTCCAAGCGCTAGCACCTTCTTTGCGCAAAGTATGCATGTATGCCATTCTTTGCACAAAATATGCAGTGAACGACTCTTTGCGCAAAGCACAGAAAGCCTGCGAGCCGTGTGTGTGGAAACAGAACTCCACTTGAACTTGCTTCCTGACAGACACCCATGCAAACACCAGTGCAAGGTGGACGCAGGGAAGAGAGAAAGCTGGCTGGAGTCCAGGGAGCTGCCTAAGGAAATCCAACAGATTCCACTTCCACACTGGATCCCTCACCCATCCCTAGTCGCAACCCTGATCTTGTTCTTCCCACTGCCCCTTTCCTTGCTATTTCTCTCCTTTCCTGCCACTGCAACGCACTGTTTCTTCCCCTCCTAACTTCTACTTCTGCTCTTTCTCTACCCCCCTCCCTCGCTGTGTATCCTCCCTCCCCCATCTAGCTTTGCTGTCTTTCCCCTCACCTCTCCATCTTGCTTCCCCCCCATCCGAGCCCCTGCTTGTGCTCTTTCCCTCCCTTCCACCCCTTTAGCTCCCCTTTTCTCTCCTCCTCACATCTTTAGCTCACTGTTTCTCCCCTTCTAGTCTCTAGCCAAGCCTTCCTTGCTCCTTTGCCTTGCTGCTTCCCCTCTCCCTCCCTCCCTCCCTCCCTCCCTCCCCCTTCCCCTTCCCATTTCCCTTTTCTTCTCCCTTCTCCCCCCCCCCCGAGAACCCCCCCCCCCCCCCGCAGTAGCCTTGATGTGGTTGGACACATGAGAGGCATTTACTGAGGTACCTGCAGCAGTTTCTCAAGCTGCCAAGTGTTCTGATAGGTCCAATAAAGTGGAATGGGGAAGATGTTTTTACTAACAAAGGTTCTTCTCTTCTCCATTTTATCCTCACAACAACAACAACCCTGTGAGGTAGAACAACCCTGTGAGAGTCCGTGACTGACCCAAAGTCATCCAGGGAGTTTCATGGCTGAATGGGAACTAGAACCTGAACCTCCTGAATCCCTGTCCAACACTCTAAGTGCTGTGTTCTGGTGTTACTCCTGAGAAAGGGGTCTACCTACTCCATTCCCTTAAGGAGCATTGGCTCTTTTGCTATTCCCCCCAGCTTCAGACTGCATTGCCTGCAAAGCTATGCACTGGTAGGAATATTTCCCACCTATTGACTGAAAATCCTTATGTAGGCTTCAAACACATTTAGACTAATTTAATGTATTCTTTAAAATAACCTGGAGCTACACACCTACACTGCCCTCTGTGTACATACCAAGCTTCAAGCGACTAAGGGTCACATCCTTGGAACTACAGCCCTGACAGATGGATGCACATCATCTCTGAGGATTCTCAAAGATAAAAGATTGCATCATATTGGGTCTTGTGCTTTTTGTTTTCCTCACTGATATCTTTTATTTATCTGCTCCACCTCTTTGCTTCCCTGTGCATACTAATAAGAATAGTATTATTAGAAAATAATACTATTTTCTTTTTTTTTTTAAGTGAAGGAAGGATGTTTAACTCTGACCTTGCTAGATAGAAGCTCCCTTTCAGCTGCTCTTCTTCCATAGGGTAAAAAGATGTCTTCCCTCAGCTGCTTTTCCAGCCATGTAGGGGGAAAAGATACTAGGAGACTGACACAGTTGGCAAGGAAAAGGGTAAACACTCCTTCTTCTCCACCCATTATGTTCTTATGTTTTGATTTTTAAAAGAAAACATGCATGGAAATCAAGAATGGTATGTCATTTGGCCTTAAGATTCCCCTGCTGTTACTGCCCAGACATTTTCAGGTCTGTTTTTGTAGCCTTAGAGCAGGCTTCCCTCACCTGCTGCCCCCCCCCCCCCCCCCCGCAGATGAGCTGCACCTTGCTGTGGAATTATGAGTTATGGTCCAACATATATGGAAAGTATTAGGTAGGGGAAGATTTCCTTAGGGTCTAGAAACATGCTCCTGTAAAGAGGAAAAAGAAATCTAAAGTTCTCAGGGGATGCTGAATTCTCCAGTCAGTACCAAAGGACAAGGCTCTTAGGCAGTATTGACTCATGAATGGCGTGATTCAGTTGCCTTTGAGGGTTGTTGCATGGAAACCGTGCACTGCATTTCAATGGGTGGTTAGCTTTCTGTTCGTGGAGTGCAGAAAAGGATCGCAACAATCCACGCTTTGTTTAGTGAGTGACTTACACAGACTGCAGGCTTTCTTATAGTCTCTACCACCACCCTGCAAAAAGAAAAAGAGAAAAAAGATGAATAGCACATGAACATTACTAAGAACACTGTAGGTTATTGTGTGAAGATGACCACATGCAGTGGACACACTAGGTGGGACCGGAGCTCACTTGTGGCCAGAATACAAGGCACCTTGCTCACAGCTTGTGGAAAAATTTATTTTATAATCATTTGGGGGTCCTTGTCCTCCAGCAATCACACAATCTGTCTCTCCAGTGCAGAAACCAAATTTCAATTATTGCTTGGTTAGCATTGGCTGCAGCACTCATTTCGGCAGGAATTGTGGGTACTTAAAGCCTTGCAGAATGCAGTCCTTTGATCGGGTTTTCCTTAATGTGTTGTTAGGTTTTGTTCTCTAAAACAAACTCCAGAAGGATAGCTTGGTTTCTCTGTCATGGTAAGCAGACAAAATAACTGTTTGGGGCCACCTTAGAGGCAAACAGATTTGCAAGAGCTTAAGCTTTCATGAACTACAAAGGGCACTGGTTCTACCATCTGGTAGGATGAAGGGCGAGCCTCAGGTAGCAGGTGATGGGTGTTAAGGGGGAGGGACAACAATGTCAGGCGGCTGGCCTTTCGCCTCTGTTGGAGGACAGAATGCTGCTGTTTTCCCGTCTCCCCTCCATCCTGCCCAGGTTGGCCTGCAGCTCTCAGGTGAGCTGGAGGATGCTGCCCTATCACCAGCAAGGTATCCGTTCCAGCCTGGTTGCTTTCTCTAGATGGAATGGGGTCTCCTGCCACCTTGTCACAATCAGGTGGGGGGGCCCTGCTGCTGAAGGAGGCTGTCTTCCTTCACAAAGTCAGCACTCCACATGGAGATGGCGATGGAAATGACACTGGAGAGCAGCGGGCCTAACATGCTTCCCCAGAATGCAGCATCCCAAGGTGGTTATTTCAGACTCTGACTCTGAACTGGAGAAAGGGTCGAATACCAAGGCTGACAAACTCCAAGATAAGCCAAGAGCTTTCGGAGAACCAGATCATCTCTGATTCAGTAAGAGGCGCTGTTGAACCAGTGGAATCTGAGAAAGAGCGATGTGATTAGTAAGTCCTATTGTTTGACACCATCTCTCCTGAGTATTCTATTCAAGTAACATCCAGTAATCCTACCATTTGGCCCATGTCAGAGACTCGAAAACCAGCAGTGGGAATGAACACTCAGACCCATAGGAAAGATTGAATCACCTTGCACCTCAGTGGTTTATTGGTGAGATCACCCAGGCCCCTGCAGTAACTTACAACAGCATGTTACTGGGTAGCAATCCTCACAGCCAACTACAAGCTTTTAGAACATATACAGAGTATTTTATAGGTTCTGAGTCACATACATCGCAGCAGGGCAGATGATGACAAAATAATGAAATAATGGGTACACAGTCAAAAGAATGTGAGAAATCACCAGAGGGGACTTAATACAATAGCATTGATTACAGGAGATTGTCTTATCAATCAGGAAGGCAGGGATTATTGTTAGACTTGGCTGTGGGTTTGAACATGTAAATTAGAGTGCAATACTGCTAGGAAAACCTGGCTGACTGTCTTATCAGTTTTGTTGCTGTTGGCACAAGACTAGACAGGGGTTAATTTTCCTTCGCGGGGGGGGGGGGCTTCAGCAAACACATAGCAGCCGCTCTCAGGCGAGCTGAGAGTTCCAGTCTCTTAAAGGAGAACAACACTAAACAGAAGTATGGCTTGGAATTCTGGTTCTTTCTGAGATAGATTTTTATGTCACAAAGGCACATACAAGCAACCTTTTTCTTTAAGAATTTATCTGGATTTTCCCAGTTCAAACCTCCCTAAATGTGGAGCCAACTCTGTTTGGTGGAGAAAGGAGGAGAAGGATGCAGTTTGCAATCAATTTCTTGGGCTGAGTGGTACTTTCTCTCTTTAATTTGCTGGCTCATTAACCAGATGGATGTCTTTTGCTAAGGATCTCTGCAACACTGCTTTTGCACCACAAAGCCAGCCTAGCTGGGCCTCCTTTCCAGTTAGAGGTCTATAGCCATTTTGGAAGGGTACAGTACTGGGTAGGGGTGGAGAGACCGACTCACAATACTCCTCCTTCGCACACATTTATTTACTCACTTTCAGGACCCCTCAATAGAGTCCACATGGTTCAGAATCCCTGTTGGGCAAAGTTACCCTTCATATGGAGTAGACAGGATAAGCCTTGATGCACCTTTTGAGACTGGGGGTAGGAAAGGTGTAGTGAATGACATCAGGGGAGTCCTACAGGTGTGTTCCTGCTATCCCATCTCCATACTTTTACTGAACACTTGGGGGCAGGGGGCATTATCCATTAAGGTCTAAACTGAGCCTGCCTTGTTTTAGCATGAGCTGATAATATGGGACATGGTTGAGCAGATACACAGCTCGATGAGGAGCTAACTTGTCCCACTGGTGATGCAGCAGAAGAATGGAGCCCAACGTGAGCTGCTGTTTCTGGCAGGGGATATTTCATGGATGAATTGGGCCAAGGAAAGCATGTTTGCTCTCAGTGCTTCCCTTTACAGTCTCCAATGGTAAAGAAGGCTTCTTTGCCCAGTATAGATAGGCCATGGAATTCATGACCACGAAGGCCAACGTTGGCTTTGAAAGAAGGTTAGATGCATTCCTGTTGGAAAGGTCACCAATGGCTATTCGGTGTCCAGCATAATACTAGCCAGTTGGGTGCTGATGCTCTTGGGTAGGGCTGGGGTTAACCCTATTGGAATCCATCCCTCCAAGTATTCATGGACTTTCTCTTGTGCTAAGCCCAGTCTTCCAAAGTGAGGTCTGTGAATGCTCCCAGGCCCCCGGTTGTGGAACTGGCAACCTTCTTCAGCATCAAATGGCCGCTGCACTCGGCACAGAAGAGGGGCTTCTGTCCTTGCACGCCCCCCGTGACCAGCTGGCTCCCACGTCGCCTGCAGCCACTCAAATGGCGGCTGCCTTTGGTATGCAAGAGGGTGCTGCTTGCAGAGTGTATGGGCCCCAATTCCTGGGAAGTACCCCATGAATGCTGCACGTGCTGCCCAGGAACTATGGTCCTCTGCAAGGCAGACCAGAGTCTTGGGGGCAAACCCAGGGGATCCAGTGGATTCCCACCTCCAGATTCCTCACACATCCTTACTCTCATGTCGTGCTTGCAGGCTTCCCAGAGGTATCTGGTTAGCCCCTGCTGGGAAAAGGATGCCGGGAAAAATCACAGGCCTTTGTTCTGACCCAGCAGAATTCTTCTTATGGGGGAGTGACTGTTACCCCCCACACACTTGCTTATTTATCCAGTGAGCAGCGAGATGCTGACCCTCTTTTGGCCTGAGGGCCAAATCCAGAGGAGCTCTCGGACTGCCTTCCTGTGGCACACAAAGCTGAAGGCAAAAGCGTGTGAAGCTAAAAGCAAAAATGGCATGGCCAGATTTCCAAAAATGCCAGTATATTTGACTTCAAACCACTTAGGAGAGAGATTTTAACCTTTTAGGACTGGGAACCAAGCCAGAGTCAGGCAGGGCACAATCCCATGCATGTCTATACAGAAAAGCATCGTACAGTTTTCAGCATGCTGGCTGGGTCATGCGGGGAGTTGTAGGCCTTTTTCTGTCTAGATACAGATATGATTGCACCTGAAGTCCACAAAGGGCTGGTGACTGGGGGGGGAAGACAGTGGGACAAAGGGAAGGGGGCACAGACATCTGGGCAGCCCCTAGTGAGTTTGACCGATGTATCTCAGTCCCTTCGGTCTTGCTTCTTGAGTCTTAACAGATGCTGGTAACTGAACTAGTTTATTGAACAGGGTTATTTACAGCTCCCCAGTAGATGTCTTAATACAGACCTGCAGCAGGGCACGGTTGGAAGGAGTCTTGGGGCTTCTCTACATGAGAGGTTTACTGAATAACCTCTGTTTTACTGGGGCTTCTTCTTCCGTATTCATTGCAGGAGGAAAAATGTACCCTTTAAACGGTCCCCCCCCCCCCAGGTGTTGCATTATTCTTCCTTTCTGTATATTCTAGTAAGCAACCACAAGGTCACACTGTGGTCTAGCAGATTTGCAACTTCTCACGGAGCTTTCGTTCCTGTTTGTCACATTAAAAAAGTAATACCAGACTTTGCTCGCTCTTGAAGAAACCACAAAAAAGCTGGAAAACACAGGAGAGGCTCTGGAAGAGGACGACGTCATGAAACGGCTCTGTAAACATCCATGCATGAGGAATCCCCAGAGCACAATAAATGCCTTGTGTAGAGAAGCCCTGGACATTAGAGGCACTGAGTTGGAACAGATCTCAAATGTCATGCAGCCCAAGTCTTCCCTATAAAGGAGAATTCCATGGCTATACACTAAGCTGTGCTTAAAGGGAACAGGGCCATATTTCCTTGGAACCATTCTCTTTACATTTCTTTATCAGTTCAGGATTGCACCTTTAGCATTCATTAAAACCCTGATTTTGTTCCTGCACCGTAAACCTCCTATTATGCCCTGGTGAATTTTGCTGCTTCTGTGAAAAGTGACTGTACTTCACAAGAGCTAAAACGTTGGACTTCCTGGTTGGAAAGAGGTTGTTGGGAAATTTCTTCAAAATGTGCAAGTCTGAAAAACCAAGCATCTATCTTTTCTTCCTCTTCTTCTTTCTAGTGCTTCCACTTCTCACTCAGATCATTCTGCACACACAAAATCTGCTTCAATCGTCTCATCAGATTCCATCTCCACCTCTACAGAAAATTTTTCTCCAGATTTAAGGGTAAGTCTTGTAGCCAATCTGTACCATTAGTAGTCATGTAATGGTTGGGTTGTACTAAGCCAGACTTTGGGGTTAGGGCTGAGGATCTCATGCCAGCCAGGGTGGCCACTTGAAATTGCCAAAAGAGAGGATAAAAGCAAATACTAATCTGCATGCCATGTGCATGTGCTAATTTATAGGTGCAGATGCTAATGTAGAAATTCTTCTTACCATTTAAACAGAAGTACAATAGATGCTGCCATGCTGCATAAGACTGTGACCTGGGACTCATGCTTTGCTTAGTCTGTTGCCCAGCTGCTGTTGATGGGCAGCTTCAAGGCCCACCTCATCTTACGGATGGTCCTTTGACTTTATGCCAGTCTTGGACTGGACACCCCTTCAAACTACAGATGTGCAAAGAATCTATTCTGGGCAGGGAATCTGTAGATTCCATGACTTGCTTTGCACTGACCCTGGATCTGAGTTCGTAACAAGTTCACCCAGTGTTTGCAGGATGCTCATCAGGAATCGAATGCCACATGCTTCACAAGTAGCGCAACTGTGCCATGGCAAGAGTCGCTGCCATTATTGTGGCTGCGGCTGGCACTGAAAGAGTGATTGGAAGGCGCTTGCCAGGAAAGGAGCCCTGCATGACTTCTAGCAGCACTCTTCTCCTGCGCTAAGTGCAGCTGCCGTTTAGACGGCTCCAGCTGGCACTGAAGAAAGCTGATCGCAAGGGATGTGCCAGGAAAAGAGCCCCACAGAACTGCTAGCCATGCCCCTCTCCCAAGTCAGTGCCATCTGCTCTGCTGCACCTGACGTGGAAGAGGGTTGCCGGTCGCACAACTGGGGACCGCAAGGGCTCAGGGATTTCCTCTTGGCCCAGTTGCTTTGGAACACAGGTTCAAGGACAAGAGGAAGTCCGTGCATGCCTGGAGAAACAGATTCCGGTGGGGTTCTTCCCAGCTCTACTTCAAACAGATGATGTCTTCAAAATAGAGAACAGAGAGGACAATCCTTCAAGGGCCCTTCTAACTTTCATGATTCTCTATGTGATTACCAAAAAATACTTTTCCTTCCACTAAGAGTTTGACAGATGAATTGTGCAGAAAAATGACAGAGCATAGCGTTTTGGGACTGTGTCATTTCAGGAACTGCATATTTAAATATCTGCTCTCCCCAAGTCCCTTGTAAAGGAATCCTCTGTCCATGTGGAAGGGATGAATCATGGGACAGAATCCTGGGATAAAGTAGGGTAGAATCCTCGGGCCTTTTTGATGGTGTGGCCTTCAAGCGTGTGAAAGCTGGACAGTGAAGAAAACTGACAGGGAGAGAAAGGTTGTGTTGGAAACATGCTGCTGGAGGAGTGTTTTACAAATGCCCTGGACCAACAGGCAAACAAGTGGGCCCTGGATCAGATCAAGCCGGAATTTGCCTTGCAAGCAAAAAAGAATGAAACTGAGGCTGCCATTCTCCTGAGAAGGCATCTCATTGGGGAAGAAAATCATTCTAAAGAACGTCCATGACAGAACAAGAGGAGAAAGACCAGACTGACTCCATAAAGACAGTGTCGGATTGAGCAGGGCCACCAAGGATGAGACATCTTGGAGAGCACTCATTCACGGGGTTGCTGTAAGTCAGAGGCGGCTTGACAGCGCATAACAGCTCAAGCATACAATCTCCCCAAAGCCCTGTATGCTTTGCAGTTTACATCCCAGAGCTATTAGGATGCAGACAGCACCCTGTTTTATCGTAAGACTGTCCCACGACCTTGGTAGTAGATGGTATATAAAAGTTTTAAATGAATGAATGAATAAATAATAGCTGGGGTCGTTTTATCAGGACATTTAATACCCACACTTTTAGATGCAAAGGACACCTGTGTGTGCGAGAGAGGGGGTTAATACTGTATAAAACTCATGAACAAGAACCAGGACCAACTTCAAAAATAGACAAGGTTGGCATCTACCAGCTGACAAAACCCCACTGGACTTGCTTCTCTGTTCCCTTGTTGCAATTAGGAATGTGTAAGGAATCCATTTGGTGGTGAGAATCTCTGCAGACCGCACTCCAGCCCGCTTTGTCACGACACTAGGTCCAAAAGCCCTCTTCCACAGTACATGCCCCAGCTCTTCTTATGCCGCTGCACCTGATGGAGAAGGAGGTTGCTCGCAAGGGCTTCCCGGGAATGGAGCCCCGTAGGACCACTGCACAAGCGGGATCCCACCGACAGCGTCCCTCTTCCGTGCCACACACAGCAGCTTTTGTTCCTCCTGCTGCACCTGATACAGAAGAACTTTGCTGGCTACACACCCTTCATTCCACAAGCATTCACAGACTTCCTCTCAGTTCAATTCACTTCCCAAGACCAGGCTGAGCACAGGAGGAAGTCTGTGACAGTTAGAGGGACAGATTCCACTGAATTTTGTCAGTGTGCTGGGTGCAACCTGCTCTTTTGCCTGCCCCTTGCTTTGATTCCAATAATGGTGAGTATGGGGAGGTGGAGGGCCTGCTGCTGCCCTTGCCCATCTGCTCCCAGCTCTCTGCGTGTCAGGCAAGCAAGCGACAGTGGGGATGCGAAAGAAGGTGAAGCGCAAGAGCAGCTGATGGCCCCGGTGGGGAGAAGGTAGACCCACTGAGGAAGTGGGGGCATTGAGACTGTCTTGCTCAAGGGCCTTCCAAAACCCGGAGCAGCAACAGCAAGAATGTAGAAGCTTGTGGCAACAATAAAAGATGAAGAACCCCATCAAGATGTAGGACCCCATGGCAATGCAGCAGCAGGCACATATGACCTTGCTCCAAACTCACCCTAGAAAGCCATGTGTTCAGTTTTTGTACCAGAAGATGAGCCCTGATTGGGTCAGGTGGGCCTCCCTGCCTGGAATTGCATCCCCCTGGTAGGGTGTCATGATGGAAAAGCCCTGTTGCTTCAGCCTCTGGAACAGAGGAACAGGACAGGGCAGAGCACAGGTTGGATGCTCTGTGCTTTCAAACATCGAGATGCCCTTCAAACATCCCCTAAAAGGCCCAATGAAGACCTGCTTCAGAAATGGGAGAGCTGCTCTTTCTTCTGTTGTGAGAAGCATCCCTGGCGAGTGTGAAGGTCATAGAGTAATTTCCATTAATATATCAGTGACTTGGAAATCATTCATTCACTGTCCTCTGCACTTTCTAAAGCCGGTCCTTTTCATAGGGAGAGCAATTTTTGTGTTTGCCCCACACACATGCACACACACACACACGCGCGCACACACACTTCCCCTGCTCCAATTGGCTCATAATACAAAAGAATTTTGCTTATTTGGGCAGGATCCTTTTTTTCAATTCTGTCCTACCCCTGCCTTCTATGTATAGCTCTCTCGTCATAGACCTGTCAAAGCCAGGTTACGATATATTGATTTAGTGCAAATTAGATCAGGGAAAGCCAGACTCGGTCAATCTTCTGTCTCTGAGGCAAGGAAGAAGGAAGCGTCTGGAGAGTGTTCGTGTTTCAAAAGACAGCCAGAGAACAAGGTGATCTTAATGACGTTGAAGGTCCTGGGATGTTCAAGGTGCTAAACGTACAGCAAGAATGCCGTCCCAAAACTATTTATGATTGTCATGCGTGTGGCAGAGAATGGTGGCCTTGGGGTGTCCTCTGGAAAGGTGATCTGTTATTTCTTAATGGGGCTGTGGTGTTTCTTCCACTTGCGATCCAGCAGAACGCAATTGGGTAAGGGATTGCCTTCCAATGTTTTAGCACTGTGAATCCAAATGTGAAGTCATCGGAACTACGTTTTTTGCTTTCTGAGTGTCTGGACAAAAGGAAGGGAATAATGTCTTTTGCCACTGTCTGCAAGGCGTAGATGTCTTTGAACCAGAGCAATTATTTTTAATTCTTGTTTTACCCTTGAGTGCTTCAGAGATGTGAGTAGTGCATATCAGCAATACATTGCTAAATGAAATTCATCTTTAGATGAAGGAGCTAGAATTCCATAGTCTGACATAACGGCAATATTAAAACTGTTAAGTTTTCTTTTTTTTTTTTAAGGTGTTGAATTAGGGTGATGACACTAATTCGGCTCTGGAACTCTGGTCCCAGTTCAGACCTTGCTGAATTTCACTTATTGGGGTGGAGGTGGGGGTAGAGAAGTGCAATTGCAATTGAAATGCATTCAAAGGTGTCCTTGGAGAGAGTGTGAGAGAGAGAAACATTAAATCCAAGGATGCCATTCCAGGAGGAGAAAGCTTGTGTGCATGCAAAATGCAGAATGAGATGCACAGGGACAAAAGAAATCATCACAGAGTTAGAAAAAAGAGCAGAAAAGGGTGACTAAAATGATCACAAAACTCTCCTATGAGGAAAGATTACACCATATGGGACTGTTTAACTTAGAAAAAAGATGAGTAAGGGAAGATATGGCAGAGGTGTGTAACGTTATGCATGGTGTGAAGAAGGTGGAGAGGGAAACATTTTTCTTCCTCTGCCCTAGAACTAAACCCATGAGCCATCCCATGAGGCTGAGTGCGGAGAGTTTTCGGGCAAAGAAAAGGAAGTACTTCTTCACACAGTACATAGTTAAACTATGGAATCCACTGACACAAGATTTGGCCTTGGCCACCAGTTTGGGTAGCTTTAAAGGGGACTGGCTCTATTTATGGAGGAAGAGATTTATCAACGGATGGCTGTATGCTGCCTCCAGTATGAAAGACAGTATGCCTAGGTATGCCAATGGCTGGGGACAATGGGTAGGAGGGTGCTGTTCCATTTATGACCTAATGTGGGTTTTCTCATGGATGGCCACAAAATGAACAGAACACTGGATGAGATGGAGCTGTGGTGCGATCCAGGTTGACTTTTCTTTTTTTTAATGTTCAGCACTAGAAAGTGGTTCGAAATAGGGCAAAAGTGCTGGACTGGATGCTGATTTGGACGTATCAAGGAAGCAGTGAGCAAAGGAGGATCAGTGCTAGTTGAAGTGCTTCCGGACAGATGATCTGTTGTGCAATTGTTTTGCCTCATTCACAGAATTTTAGTAAGG